TTTAGTGCATCCGCATGAATAATCATAAATTAGACTACGACGAACAACATGAATGATCTTCTAAGAATCAAACACTCGCCTCCTGTAGTTTTTATGCACTGATACAGTGAAATAAAAAATGGAAATAAAAAGTATCAAAAAGTCCTTATAAAGCCACTCCGGCAGCATAATCAACTTCTCTATTCTCCATCTGTATGCTTAGTATGTTGCATGTGTATTTATGTAACAAAAGATTCAAGAAGAAACCATCATGGTAGGCTTTATTTTCCCATTAACTGTTGAACTTACTTTAATAAAGAAACATCTGGCACATATAACCCATGATTGTTCATCACATGTATTTACTGTATGATACTGATTAGAAGCATTCTAAACATTTACTATGATTCATTGAATAAAAATGCATCATTTTGTGCAGTGTTGATGGAGGTTTGAGCTCCCTAAGAACCCCAACTCCCGCTTCATGCTGCATGCTTATCTTTTTCCGATCAACAGTGCAGTATCTACTTTACAAAACAAATGTGAAGACACAAGACAGTTGCAGCTATCATGGGTATTTTTTGCCACCTGGCAGGCATTTTATAGACTTCTGCCTTGAGCTGCTTTATTTCAGACCTTCTGGTTATTATTAATCAAGGCTGTTCTGTAGTTTTTTGCCGTGTTAGGAGCATACCTCTATGGATGGCAATGTATGTCAGTCTGCCACTACTTCTGGATTCTGATGAATACGCATTTGGCGTCAGAACGTTACTCATTTATTAAAGATGGCACCAGACAGGCCTTGTTGAGTTGTTGAATCTCCAAAACTATTAGATGGATTGCCATGGAATTTTGTCCATACATTCCTTGTCCCTCTGCAACTATTGGAGGGATTTCTGTGAAATTTGGTACACATTCATGTCCTCCTCAGGATGAAGTATAATCACTTAGGTAATCATAAGCTCGGCTAACACGTTAAATTAAGATGGTGAACATGAAAAAATGTATACCTGCTTAACAGCCGCATGTTAGTATTGTCATAAACAACATGTTAGCATGCTGGTATTAGCATTTAGCTCAAAGCATTGCTGTGCAAAGTACAGCTTATAAAATGACTGTCATGGCTGCAGACTCTTAGTCTTGTTAAGGAATAAGGTGAGTCCTGGGTGTACTCTATAGTAAAGTTTTAGTAAAGTCCGCGCTGAGGATGGTAATGTCAGCCTGCTGGTTGGTCGGTTGGTCAGCCCATACTTTAGCCCACACTGAATATCTAGACAGCTATTGGATGGATTGCCATAAAATGTGGTATATACATTGATTTTCCCCACATGTTTGATGAATTGTAATAGCTTTGGTGATCCCCAAACTAATTCCGTTTCCATCAGCCTCATCTATTCTCATAACTGAACAGCAGCACTCACCGGTTATCTGAGTTTATATTGAGCTTTTACTGCAGTCTTTCAGCCAGAAAACATCCAGAATGTGTGCAAGTCGCAAGTGCCTATTAAGGGAGAGTGTGTTGTGAATATAAGGCTTTCCATCACAGTCCTTTTACTTGTCTCACCCCACTTTCATTACACACATGTGATCGCATTCCCCATCTGTTCCTCAAGATTATTCTGTCTTTTTCATACTCATCCTCTTTTACTGTCTGTCTCAATTACTTTCTCCCGCCCACGTTCTGCTTCCACAAAACTAAACATGTGCACACATTAGCTGAAAAGTTTTCCTCTCTCCTTGTCTTGTTTTTCAAGGTCTCGTTGAGCAGCAAGAAAAGCCCCAGAGGAATATCATGGTGACGTGCGCTGAAATTTTAATCAGGAGGAAATGGGGCGGCACAATCTTGCTTCTTTTTAGTATAAATTTGCACAGACGGACTCTTGCTGCTTGTCAGGTCCTTGCGTGACACACTGAGGGCGTCTGCCTGTGACAGAAAGAGGAGAAGAAGAGTGGTAGAGGGGGTGAAGGAGAGAGGTGAGGAGAAGGGAGAGAAGAAGAAGGAATAGAGAGAGCTGAATGGATTTTTCTATTAGGCTCGTATAGCATCTCTGTGCCTAAGCAGAGGCCAGTCAGGGGATGGAATAATAGGTTATACATTTATCACGAAGACAGGTTGAAACGCATTCAAGGTTTTCTGTGTGTCATGTTGACCTAGACAGTTAGATACTGCGTAGAAGAATGATGTAAAGGAAATAAAGTAAAGGTGCATATAAAAGCTTGATTTGGATTTTGAATAATTAAATTAGTCAACTATTAAACTAGTGACAATATAAATTATAGGTATTACGCGAATTGAGACTTTTTTTAATGTATTTGAAGTTACGACAGTATTAAGTAGAGAATGGATTTTAAGTGTGATCAAATTCAGATTCTTAAGTATTTTGTTAAATATTTCAACCAATGCAGTCTGTCTATGAGACCTACCATATATGTGGTAAATCATGTTGTAGTGAGGTGTGCTTTTTAAAAATGTAATAAGCAGCTAAAATAGAAGATACAATTGGCCAATATCAGCAGTGGCAGTTTCTCATCAGATGGTAGAGCAAGTGACACTATCTTTCAACATTACATTTCACTTTCAACATGTCTCTTTCCTTCTGTCTTTACCCCTCCACCCATCTCTCCCTCTCTCTCTCTCTAACCCCAACTGGTCGAGGCAGACGGCCCACCTAGACCCGGGTCTGTCCGAGGTTAATGCCTCTTAAAAGGAAGTTTTTTTTCTTGCTAACTGCTTGCTCATGGTGGGAACTGTTGGGTCTCTGTTTTTTCTGTAATTTCATAAGGAGTACGGTCTAGACCTGCTCTATTTGAAAAGCGTCCTGAGATAGTGTTTGTTATGAATTGGCGCTATACAAATAAAATTGTATTGAACTGAAATTATTATTTGGCCAGGTTAGAGGAACTTTTTCCTACATGCTTGTGAGCAGCACTTTGAGCTTCAGTGTCTTGTTCATCTCTTTTGGTAAAAAATGATGTGTATTGTTAATAGCTTTCAAAAGGAAAGTAAAAAGGTTGGCTGGAGGGTCGTGTCGGCATCTGTGTTTGATTGACAGCAGCTGGCAGGCAGTCGAGATTGCCGGTGTTGCACCGTAGAGAATGAGAAGCAAACAGACAAACTTGAATTTAAGCCTACGTGGCACAGTGGTAGTGGTATCGAAGAGTAAGGCCCACACCAGCATCTAACCGTACCAAAGTGACATTTGCAGGTATGTTTACATGCTGTTTAATGATGATGTTAGCAGTGCACATCCCCCTGGTGAATGTGTGTTTGGTTTTGTGTTGAATAAGCTAAAGTGCAGAACAAGATGTGTTTGTGAATTAGATAAGATGGAGACTTTATCTGGAAAGCTAAGGGTTTTTTTTTTTTGGTTCAGTCATGTCCTTACTTTCCAATGTCCTCACCAGCCTGGTCTAAAACTTGATCCTCAAAAAGTACAACAGTACAAAGACACTCACACATATCAGTTGCCAAATCTGTGTGTGTATATACTGTACATTGCTTTGTTATTGGTATTCAGTGGCAAAGTCCTCTAAGCCAGCAGTCTGATTAATAATTCACAGTATTTCATGCAGTCAGTGGTGCCATTTGTATTTAAAGTGTTTCACTAATTGCCTCCTCCCATCGAGCTAATTATTTCTCCATTGTGCTGTGATCCTGTAATTCACGGTGCAGAGTCACCAAAAGTCACTCAGTGTGTAGAATGACTAAGTGGAAGAAGAAACCGCCTCTGCCTTTGTGTGCTGAGCTGCAGTGTATCTGTCTGTATGTGTGTGGTTGTGTATATAAGGCCTCCGCGGAGTCGTGCGTCATAGCATTGATATTCTCCTCACAGGGTCGTCAAGCATGAAATAGAAGAGCACACTTTCTGTGGATAAACTCTCAGCAGAACGCTGTTGGATAGTGAGAGTCGGATGCTCTAGAGAAATCTCTTCGCTGACACTGATACTGACAGCGTACAGGGGAAAAAAAATCTTATTGTGTGTGCTGCCCTGTTGTATAACTGTGTAACAGTTCTTAAAGGTGCACACCTGTGGTTTTGCATTCTTGAGCTCATTTATCACAAATCGTGTATATCTGACATCCGTGCTTACCATTTCTCAGTGTTTCCTACAAGTTGAGGGTTCATATGAGGTGGCCAAACCTTAGAAGCTTTGGGGAGAAGGATTGTGGGCTGGTGGGGAAGTCAAGACACATCAGTTTATATTCAGCTTCAAAATCCTGTTGCAATCACAACCTAATGTCTAGCTAATCAAATCTCCAACTAATATTACATGATTGTTCAAATAAACCATTCCAGCTTTTCAATCAGTCTGTAGTTCTAACTGCCTTTCCAGACATATTTATGAGATTGATAAATAGTCATTGCCAAAATAATATTTGGGTGGGCATCCGAAGAAATCTTGGTAATGGGAAAAATCTTTCTTGAATGAATTATACACTATTAACATTACCTTGGAAAGCCACAGAAGTTTGACAGCAATAATGAATCACAATTAGCAGCCTGAAACAATCATTATGATCGCAAGGTATAACAAGCAAGGACCATTTTGAAAAGTGTTTTTTGCTGGTACTTTTAAGGTCTATCAGGCATCTGAGAT